TTGAAGACTTATAAATAAATTAGATTTAAAATAGACTTATAAATAATAAATTTATGCCATATTTTGTTAATATTAATATATTATTATTAAAATAAATGAATCCTTATTAAATTATTATTTAAATATTAAAAAATTTTATTTAAATATTATATTATATTTTTATTTTTATATATTTAAAAATTAAATTATTTAAGAATTAATTATTACATAAATTGTCTATATTACAAAATATTCAATAATTTATGAAACATTTCAGAATTGAAAATGATTATATATTTACGAACAATAAAAAAAAAAAATAAATATTCTATTTATTCTTGTAAGATATGAGAAAGTAATAGAAATAGATTGTATAGCTTTTTTTTTAATGAACATTTATCGAATAATTGAATTGGATGTGAAAGATTGTATGGTCATTTATGGTTCTTCGGATTTTAAATTCATTAGATTCTTATTTTTGACATTTAAAATCTATTATTATAATTTATTGAAATGTTGGTGTAAACCAGTTCTACATTATACACATGAAAAAACATTATAGCATTTTAACATTATATAAAGCAAAGTATCATAATTCATTATTGTATTATTATTTATTATACATCTATTATTTAAAATCACAAGGCCAGTCTATATTATGTAGAAAGTTATGTTTTGTTAAAAATTAGAGAAAAAATATAAATATGAAAATTTTTTTTAAATATAATGAACTAAAATAAGATTCAATAATATGAACATAACTTAATTATTAATTAAACTTGTTTTTATTTTTTTTATCGCGTTTGGACTTATTTTAAAAAATCTAAAAAATTCATTAGTAATATCTTTATAGAAGTAAAAGTAAAATTACAGAAATTTTTTTTATTGCGTATTTATTTATTTATTTTTGTCACAGCATTACTATAAAATATTATATTGGATTTCAATCGTTCAAAATATTCTATTTATAGTTATAAAAATATTCAGATACTAACTTTATTTTAATTCTATATATATGTTAATTATAAAAAAAATAAATTCAAATTTATTAATTATTTATTATTATACTTTACAAAACATTATTAATTTCATGTAAAAAATAATATTAAAAATTAAATTAAATCATAATTTTATTTACTTTTCTCATAAAAATATTCGGACTTAAAAAACTACTTAAAAAATTTAATAAAATAATTAAAATAATAATTTTTTATTAAATATTGATTTTGATATTTTCTATTATATGTTAAGGTGTCCCATAAGTTTCTTTCTTTTTTTTTGATACGAAATGAATACATGATATTTGTTTAAGGTTGATTTATCGCATTATATATAAACCGTCTATCACCTTCTTCTATCTCTCAGGAAGCTTCATTTTTCTCTTTTTCCAAAATTGTTGAAGCTTATTTGCAAAATATTCTTCGGGATGCGTTTTTATTTCGCTTACCGATTGCAATCGGTATCCATTTATCATGGAGAAAATTTTTTAATGACAGGAACAAGTAAAAGTCGAATAGAACAATATCTGGAAAGTACAGAAAATGCGATAGAATGTCCCAATCAAACTAATAGCTTTTCTCTTACACCCAATGCAGTTTTGCATTGTTGCGATGAAAAACGTTTTGTCGATTCTGGCCGTTTTTCTGCTATGGCGTTTTTTAATTTATCAAGCTGATTGCAATATTTTGCAGAATTGATGGTTTTATTTTGAGAAAGGAGCTCATAGTAAATTACATCTTTCCAATCTCATCAAATGGACAAAAGAACTTTCTTCGGGCGAAGTCCAGACTTTGCGAAAATTAAAGATCTGTTGTTCTTAAATCAAGTGCATTTTCGATGTACATTTTGATACAAAATCCAAATCTCGTCCAGTGATAAGACTCTTTAAGAAAGAATCTTTTTCATGTCGTTGAAGAAGTAAAGATACATAAAGATGCGGTTCATGAAGAAGTAAAGATACGTAAAGATGCGGTTCATAAGGCCAGTCTCCGTCAATAGTTATGGAATTCAAACTTTACATCGATTGATATATCCTATGATCAGATGATTATGTATTGTCGTGGGATTGTTAGAAGTATTCACTATTTTTTGCACACAGTATCGCAGATTTTCAACGAACATGGCCTTGATAAGATCCGTATCCGTTGTTGCTGGGCGATCATTGCGATCTTTCAAAAATCAAAATTGCTAGCTCTAAATTTCTTAAATCAATTACGGATGATCATAGTAATAGTCATAGTACCATTCCCATACACAGTACAAATCTTGTTTGCAGTATCATTTGCACTATCACTTGCACTATTTATTTTTTAAAACAATGAAACATAACATGCCGCAAATGTTTCCTTTTGAATAATATAGAAAAAAATTTTAAAAGAGACTGTGTCATCAATAAAACGTACTTTAAAAAAGCCCTGAAGTGACTAAAACTGATGCCAACGGCTAATAAATAAGCTTGCATGTTTATATAAAAATATATCAGTTAAAATCATTCCTAGTATGGTGCGAAACTTATGGGACACCTTAATATATTAATATATATATTATTAATTTAAAAATATTATTTTTCAATATATTATATTATTATATATTATTATTCAATATGTGATATGAAATATACATATATGTTTGATCATTTTGGCTCTGTTTTCTAACTGATTTAATCGTAATATAATATTTAAGATTGATGAGTATTGAACAGTGTTAAAAAAGTATACATATCATATATAAATATGCATGTATTATTTATACATGTGCCATTAGTTCAAGAAAAAATCAAATTGATGGATTGATGAACGATTGTGAATTAAGTCAATCACTGACTGGTTCTTGCTAAATAATTTATTATAATATTTTTATTAAAAAAAAAAAAAATATTAATCTAAAGTATAAAGATATGAGATGATTATAAATTTGATCAATATAATATTATGTTAGAAAAATTATTAAGTATT